CAGGAATTCAGGTACAGCTGAGGCTTCAAAGGAAATACGTTGATTGTAACGACCAATTCCTTTATTCATTCATTGAATCTGTCATTGATTCAAAAAGTATTTATTGAGCAGGAACCATAGGCCAACACTGTCCTGTGCGCAGGGCCCAGCAGATAACAAAATACACAAATTCCCTGTCCCTCGAGGAGCTGACATGCCGCGTCTCTCCCAGGACCACACAGCCCCAGTGCCCGCTCAGCACTTCTGTGGCTTTGGCAGCAGAGCCCGCGGCTCCCTGTCACTCTCCCAGCTGGCTGAAGGCACAGACCCTCAGCTTCCCCAACCCCACAACTCCAGGAGGAGATAATAAGTTAAAATAAGTTAAATATGTACAAAATAAGTTAAATGTGTGCAATGTCACTGCAAGAAGTGCTTTTGAGAAAAATTGTATCAGATGAGTCGGCTGAACACGAAGTTGCCTGCTCTAAGGCAGCCAGAGAAAGGATATCTAGTTGAAAACCTAAAAAGGAGGAGGAGGGAACAGCATTCCTAGGCAATGGGAACAACCAGTGCAAGTGAAACAACAAGTTTCTCTCACGGATGCCACCACTGTCCCGGAGGCTTTACACATGCAAGAGCAGTGAATCCTCCCAACACCTCAGAGAGGCACCATGCTTTCTTCTACCTTGAAGCGGCTGGGCGCGGTGGCTCCCACGCCTGTAATCCCGGCACTTTGGGAGGCCGGGGCCGGTGGATCACAATGTCAGGAGTTCGAGACCAGCCTGGCCAATATGGTGAAACCCTGTCTCTACTAACCCCAAGTAGCTGAAAACCATGTGTATTCCTGGGCCTGTGGATTTGGAAGGACAGGGAAAACCATGTGTATTTTCATTTGGAAGAGGGGCAGGGAAAGCCATGTGTATTTTCATACAGGCATCTGCCACCACGCCCGGCTAGTTTTGTAGTTTTAGTAGGGTGTATTTTCTGTAGGCAAACACACAGAGCCTGGGCACGGACCGTGTCACTTTTTCTCTTTCCTGGGGGCAGCTGCGTCACTGCAGGCCCTGCCCTGCTCTGGACTTCAATTTACCATGTTGGCCATGCTGGTCTCAAACTCCTGACCTCAGGTGATCCTCCCACCTCAGCCTCACAAAGTGCTGGGATTACAGGCGTGACTACCGTGCTAACTTAGAGGTGAGTTCATGAAGATACTTTTCTGAGTCCTTAGTCACCTGACTTCTGCCCATCCAAAAGTCCATGAGGAAACAGAGGCAGCCTTGCTGTGTGCATGTGTGCTCCGAAACCGTCTTGCCCGTCCATCCTCAGCATTATTAGACATGGAGACTAGTATTGGCAGCTTTGGCAGACTACATTCCTAGCATCCTCGTACTACGGTGACCATGTGACTAACCCTGCCAGGATCTAGGCCTTAAAACACAAGGTGAGTGGTCCTGCTCTGTGTCCTATTATTACCACTGGGAAAACTGGACATGTCTGAGGCAAATCCTGCTGCGCAGAGTGAGAGCGATCTCAGGGCAGGTCTTCTAACCTGTCAGAAAAATTTCTGGGCCTGTGGATTTGGAAGAGGCGGGAAAAACCATGTATTCTCACTAACACTCTGTCTGAAATTTGGTATTTCCTGAATGTATTAGTTTCTTACACCTGCTGTAACAAATGACCCCGAACTTAGTGGTGTAAAATAACTCACACTTTCAGGGATGGATAAATGGATGCTGAAATATAGTCTACACATATGATGGATTATGATTCAGCCTTCAAAAGGAAGAAAATTCTGGCTGGGTGCGGTGGCTCCCACCTGTAATTCCATGCCTGGCTGGGCAGGAGGATCGCTTGAATCCGGGAGTTCTAGATCCAGCCTGGGCAGCATGCACAGAGCCTCATCTCTACAAAAAATTAAAAAATTAGCCAGACATGGTGTACCTTGTAAGGCGCCGGCTACTCCAGGGAGGCTGAGGCAGCAGGTCTTGAGCCAAGGAATTTGAGGCTGCAGTGAGCCGGTGCCTGACAGACCCTGACCTGGGGCAGGCAAGACCCTGTCTCTAAACTTAAAGACAAGAGATTGAGTCGGGGCACGGTGGCTCACGCCTGTAATCCCAGCACTTTGGGAGGCCAAGGCCAGCGGATCACCTGAGGTCAGGAGTTCGAGACCAGCCTGGCCAACATGGTGAAACCCTGTTTCTACTAAAAATACAAAAATTAGCTGGGCGTGAGTGGTGGCGCCTGTAATCCCAGGTACTTGGGAGGCTGAGGCAGGAGAATCACTGGAACCCAGGAGGTGGAGGTTGCAGCGAGTTGAGATCACACCACTACACTCCAGCAGGCAACAGAGCGAAACTCCACGATCTCAAAAAAAAAAAAAAGAAGTGAAGAGGAAGGAAGGAAGTTTGAGGCAATGTCAGTGAAATAAGCCAGTCTCAAAAGAACAAATGCTGTATGATTCCCCCTACATGAGGTACCAAGAGGAGTCAAATTCATAGAAACAGATGTGTCTAAATATTTGCCAGGGTAGCGGGAGGGGTTAATAGAGAGTTGTTGTTTAATGGTGTAAGTTAAGTTTTGTAAGATGAAGAGAGTTCTGGAGATTGCTTGCAGAGACGATGTAACCAAACACTACTAGGACCAGGTGAGGTGGCTCACACCTGTAATCCTAGTGCTTTGCGGGGGCCAAGGTGGGGACCAGATCACTTGAGGTCAGGAGTTTGAGACCAACCTGGCCAACAGGGCAAAACCCCATCTCTACTAAAAATCGTACAATAATTTAGCCAGGCGTCTGGCTGGCTAATGGCACGCACCTATAGTCTCAGCTACTCAGGAGGCTGAGGTAGGAGGATCACTTGAGCCCAGGAGGTCAAGGCTGCAAAGAGCTATGATCATGCCAGTGCCCTCCAGCCTGGGTGATAGGGCAAGACCCTGTCTCAAAAAAAATAAAAATAAAAATAGAATAAATAAATAATAAAATCACATACTGAACAATGTTTTTTAAAAGGGATAAGATGGCACATTTTATGTGTTTGCCACTGTTAAAAAAATATTTAAAATTCCCTGAACAAAAGAACAAAACAAAACATAGGCACATTTCTATTCCTACAGTTCTGACGGTCAAGGTGAGAGCAGGGCTGGTTCCTTCTGGAAGCTGCAGGGGAGATCTCTTTCCTTGCCTTTCTCAGCTTCTGGGGGTGTCTGGCATCCCTTGACCCTGGTTCCCTTCCTGACATCACTCCAACCTTCTGCTTCTGTGGTCACATCTCCTGCTAACGATGCTGGCCCTGGCTCCTTCTTGAAGGACTTTTGTGATATTGGGTCCAGGAGGTCAACCCAGGAAAAACATCCCCATCCAAAACTCTTAACTTACATCTGCAGAGGCCCTCGTGCCGTGGGCGTAACATATTCCCAGCTCCAGGGATCAAGGAACACTCTGAGGACAGGCCTTCTGTCTAGCACAAATCCATTACAAATGCAGGCAACACACCACAACAGTGTGCTTAAGAACTTGTGACTTTGTCACCAAAGAAATCACAGACATTTCCTATCACGTTATCTTCCAGCAGGCACCTTGAAATATCATTCATGTATCTCTGCTTCAAGTCACAGTGGTTATTAAAGCTGCCACGGGTGATTTTTTACTTAATGCATTAATGAAGAAGCACATGGTGCTATGTCACAGTGTGAAAAATATTTTGATCACTGTATTACAATCAGGGATTGGATTCCTTTGTCCTGCGTGTTCTTTCATTCTGAGAAGAGTCTGTAGGCTTTTCAAGGCTGCCGTCCAGGTCCGGTGGAGTGAAGATGGTGAGGAGCCCTGCCCCAGGGGACTGTGGAGCACAGAACTGCCAGGAACCAGGGCCCCTGGATGACTGGGTGGGGCCATCCTACCAGGGGGAGCGCTCACCTTGAGAGGAGGAGCTGGTGGAGAATGACACTCTGTGGTTTGTAATCCATGGTCACTGTATTTGAGACTCTTTGTTCCAGCAGTTCAGCCAACTGTACTCAGCAGGGATCCCTGATCCAAGTTGTCCTCCTCATTTGTGAGGCCAATCCAGGGTTAGTGAGACCTCATGTTTGCTTATACAATTCAGGGGCTTCTTGGAAAGAGAATGGGCTGGACCCAGTGGCTCAAGCCTGTAATCCCAGTTCAGGAGGGCTGGGGTGGGTGGAGGATGGTGCTGAAGAGAGAATCACTTGAGCCCAGGTTGGAGGCTGCAGTGAGATGTGATCACACAAAAGACAGAATCTTGCTATGTTGCTCAGGCTGGTCGGGAACTCCTGACCTCAAGCAATCCTCCCATCTCAGCTTCTGCAAGTAGCTGGGATTATGGGCTGCACCACCATGCCCAGCCAATTCTTTAATTTTTTGCACAGACAGGATCTTGCTATGTTGCCCAGGCTGGTCTGGGCTCAAGTGATCCTCCTACCTCAGTCACCCAAAGTGCTGTGATTACAGGCTTGAGCAACCGCATCCAGGCTCTAAATTAATTTTAAAAGATGTAGCTACATTTCACCCAATACATCCAAAGTGCTATCATTTCAACATCTAATGAATATACAAATTATAATTAAGCTGTTTTACATTTTTTTCCCACAGTAAATCTTCAAATTCTGGGGTATGTATTGCACTCACTGACAAAATGAGGTTGCGCCACTTGCATTCCAGGTACTCGATGGTGACATGGGGCTGGGGACTTGATGGCCAGCACAGCCTCCAGCAGACCTGCTGTTCTAGACGCTACTTTGGAGTAATTTGTTATGGCAAATTACCATAATTTGTTATGGCAGCAACGCAAAGGAAATACACACCAACACACACAGTCCGTCATAGGTGTCTTTTTCCTCATTGTTTATTTCAACAAGGGTTATAAAATGCGAAAAATAAACATTTTCCTGGAGGTGACTTGGGTTTACACACACAAATACATGAATAGCGATTGGGTAGCAATAAATTAAGACAAAAGCGTTAATTTATAAATAAAATCTCCAAGATTGCATGACTGGTGGGAGAGTCAAACACACAGGTCCCCGCTGGCAACACATTTCGGAGTCCGCGTGAGGAGGCGGAAGGAGTTGAAGGTGACAGAGGCCTCGAGGCAGCCAGGAGACTCCTGTAGGAGGAGGATGGGTCAGGGGCTGTCCCAGGGTCTGAGCTCCTAGTGGCTCCCAAACCCCAGAGTCCCTCTCTTCCCAGGTCACTCACCTTTTTGGGGCCTCCTGGAGCCGGTGCAGCCAGTGGTGGAGGCGGCCCGGGGCCTGAGCCCTGCTGTCGGCTGCGGCTGGATCTGTGGACAGAGGAGAGCCATGTGTGAGGCGGGGCCTGGGCCACCACAGAGGAAGGGCACTGCTCAGAGCCCACAGACCTGGGTGCCGGGCCCCGAGGACTCACACAGGCCCGGAGCTGGGAGGATGTGGTGCAGGGTGTGAAGGGCTGGTCAAGACATCACAGAACCAAGTCAGCATCAGCAGCAGCCTCCGGGAACCTTCAGCGTCAGGGCCAAACAGCCTCCCAAAGCCACGGGGCGCTCCTCACCTGAGGAGAGGTGAGAAAGAACAGGTGAGAGGCAGGTGGGGAACAGGTAGGGGAGGGAGAATAGAGAGGAACAGTGAAGGTGACAGGCACAGGGAGAGGGGCACAGCCAATGTGGTCAGGTGGAGCAGAGGGGAAGGGGAGCAGGTGTGGGGAGAGGCGAGACAAGGGAGAAGGAGAAGGTGAAGGGGGCCACTACAGAGCCAGGTGAGCAGGGTCGGGAGGGCAGGCGTGGGCCTGACTCCCCCTCTCACCTGTAGCTGCCTCAGGTCCCAGGTCCTGGGGAAGAGGTGGGAGCGGCACTTGCAGTCCTTCAGCAAGAGCGACTCTTCCTAGACAGCAAAGGCACAGGTTAGCCCCAGCAGGAGGGTTGGAGAGTTGGGCCACACTGATGGGATTGGAGGATGGCTGACAACAGGATAGGGGAGGTTAACTGCTGGGACGATGGTAGAGGACCCTCTTCTACAGGAAAACATGGGTCAGTCCTGTAGTAGGAGCATGAGATAGCCCACTGCAGGGAGGGTGGAGGCTAGCCCAGTGAAGGAAGCTGGGACTAGGAAGCATGGTGACCTTGGAGTGGGGGTGGAGGCTGGCCCATGGCAGGAGGGGCAGGGGGAGACTCACTGAGCATCTTTGGCCTCTTAAAGGCCTGCAGCTCCTGTGGAGACAGGGACTTGAACTGGGCTATGTGGCAGCCCCTTGCATCCGGGAGAGCCCCGTGGAGCCTGGCGACAGGAACTGCTCAGTCCACGGTCAGCACTGCGGCCATCAGCACCAGCACTGGCATGCAGCTCCCGGTCATGTCTGTCACAGAGAGAAGGGGAGCTGAGGGGATGGAGAGGCTGCCCCCTGAGGGGCAGGGAGCTGCAGGAGCTGAGCACAGACAGAGATGTGGGACTCACCTAGTTTCATTCCTGATCTCTGGTCTTTGTCAGCAGAAGAAACACTCTGAGGCTATCACCGAAGTCCGTTTGGGTCTTGTTTGGAGTCTCTGTTCTTTTCTGTCCCCTCTTCTGGATCTCCAGACTGTGTCTGGCCTCGACTCTTTCTGTCAGTTTTTGAGCTCTGTCTGAGATGTAACTCCTGCTGAAGCTCCATGGGGGCGCTTTTTATCCCTGACAGAAGGAGCAGTCCCAGCTGATGTGGGAAAAGTGAAAACACCACCCCTCCAGGTAAGACACCCGGCCACCAGGGGAGCCCAGGCTGAAAGCCCAGAGCAGGGCAGGGCCAGTGAGCGAGTGAGCAGCTGGAAGAGAACTGATGGAGACTCAGGGATTACCTACGCAGGAAGGTGTGTTCCCAAGAGGATTCCACCTGCTCTGCTTTTGTTGTTGTTGTAGTTTAAGATAGGGTCTCACTCTGTCACTGGAGTGCAATGGCGTGATCATAGCTCACTGCAGCCTCAAACTCCTGGGCTCAAGCGATCCTTCTCATCCAGCCTATTAAAGTGCTGAGATTACATGCCTGAGCCACCACTCCTGGCATTGGGCGCGTTCGCGTATGTGTGTGTGTGTATATATGTATGTGTGTGTGTATATATATATATTTATATATATTTGTGTGTATGTATATATTTATATTTCAATATATTTATATATTTATATATATATATGTATATTTTTTTAAACAGGATGTTGTTTGATCACCCAGGCTGTAGTGCAGTGCAAAATCTTGGCTAACTGCAACCTCCGCCTCCTGGGTTCAAGCGATTCTCCTGCCTCAGCCTCCCAAGTAGCTGAGATTACAGATTTGTGTAACATTTCCAGCTAATTTTTATATGTTTAGTAGAGATGGCGTTTCACCATGTTGGCAAGGCTGGTCTCGAATTCCTGATGTCAAGTGATCTCTCTGTCTATGCCTCCCAAATTGCTGGGATTTCAGGGGTAAACCACCACACCCAGAGGCCAATATTTCTTAATTGTGAAGGACTCAGGAATATGAGAGGGCGCTGCTCAAAAGAGGTGAGGTGTGATGAAGGACTTGAAGGACACCACATGGAGGTGCTGTCTTTCTTAGGGACGTTCCAGGCAGTGGTCAAGAGCATGGAGTCTTGGAGCTGAAGGGTCACAGAGGTTCAAACCTGGTTCTGACCCTCATAGCCATGTGACCTTGGCAAGGAGGGGGTGCTTTCAGCAGCACAGAGTGCTAATGCACAGATTTGGAGAAAAAATTAACAACACAACTGCTTGTGTATTTATACGAGTGATTATTTAATGGAATCCACTCATTAAGGCCATACCAGGACTTCCAGGCTGGAGAGTTTAAACGTGATCTCAGTATGCCTACTCCTCCACAAGGCAAGTATACTAACCCATCCTACAGGTGAGGAAATACAGGCTCAGAAAAGTAATTTGCTCTGAATTACACTGTAATTAACTGGCAGGGTCAGAACTGAAACTCAGGCCACCTGAGTCCCTGGCTCAGCCTCTTTTTTTGCAGTAAGGCGCACCTCACAATCATCATACGGAAAACAACCAATGCAATCAAAACGCTCTTTAATAACTGCCAATAAATTTAAACCAGGAGACAGAAAGGCAAATACACAGGAATTTCACAAATACAAACAACATACGTTAGGGAATCCAAAGAACCACAGCCAGTTAAGGACTCTTGGGCCTTTCACAACCAAATCCCTCATGGATTGGTGTCATAGATGCCTGATCCAAGAGTTACGGATTCACAGCATCCTCAAAGCTGGCTGTGGGGCTACAAATCGGGGTTAGGACCTGGTGTTGGGGGTGTCTAGTAACCACACAGGAGGAACTGGTCCCTGTTGCTTGAGGTCAGCGACGGTTTCAGAGCTCAAGTCTCTTTCTGTCATAGCAACCTTGAAGGGCCGTACAATATACTCCGAGGAAATATCGCTGCTTCCTGGAGAACTGTACTCTCTTCCCTGTAGAAGGACCCACTCATCTTGTATCTGAGACAGTGGATCCAAGTCAGGCCCAAAGCTGCAAAGAAGTTCTCGTGCCTCAGCACCCATTGGCTGAGCCTTGTCTGAGTCACTCAATGGGCGGCAGGGCCGCTTTCGGCAGCCAATGGCGTGGAGGTTTAGGTGGTGCCGGAGGGGGCGGGGTCAGAGGCAAGGCCCGGAGTGAGCAACCAGTGAGAGCTCCCACGTGAGCAGGCGCAGGAGGTTGAAGATCACGCTGACTTCGCGACACCGAGGCGAGTCCTAGAGCCCAGGAGGAGCGCAGCGGGGGGCCAAGCCTGGCTTCCCTCCCGAGGCCCCACCAGTCCCGCTCTCAGCCTCAGTCCGTCCTTGTCAGCCTCGCCCGGTCCTCCCTGCAGGCTAACCCTGTGTGCCTGCTGCACTCACAGCTCTCCGCGGTTTGTGGCGCCTCCTCTGGGCCCGGGGACCTTCACGGAGGAGCCTGGTGTGACAGCTCGAGCTGGAGGTAGGACATGAGGCAAATGGAGGGGCGAAGGGCGAAGCTCCCTCCACATCTGCCCGTGACCCTCCCAGCCGCAGACCCGAGCCGGATTTGAGGACACCCAGAGGACCCGAATCGGAGTCTGGATCAGTTTTTCCGCTAGCGGGACAGATTCGCAAAGCGTGGGGCATGCACGTGGGCCTGAGGATGCAGAGAAGCTGGCGAGGCGAGGGCGCGGGCGGTCGTCACTCACGCAGGCGCCCACGTCCCTCCCGCGGCCGCCAGCAGCTCAGGATCGGGCCGGCGCCGAGGAGCAGCTCCCAGGTGGTGCAGGCCGCTGAGCACGGCCTGGGCGTCCACGTGCCCGGAGCCCACGTGGCGGAGCTGAGCGCAGGACTGCAGGGACCAGAGGGCGTTAGAGGGGGCCGCGCCCGGTCCATGCCTTCCCGCCCCGCTCCCGGGCCTCACCGACAGCCGCGAGAGGATCCCTCCTGGGGCGGAAGGAGCAGTTGCGCGGCTCCCATCTCAGCGCCTCTTCCTCCTGAGGGATAAGCGGCACTTTTCGCGTATGCTGGGCCCCCTCCCCAGGGCCCCTAACCTCTGCACAGTCTGGGATTCCTGGACGTGGATGGGTACTGGCAGTGTACGGTCGTGCCTGTCGTATACTGAACCAGGAGCTCGAAGGCGTGAACCGGAGTTGAATTGCACCCCGCGCTCCTCCAGGAGCCCTGCGCCTGACCTGGGCAGTCCGCCCGTCAGAGCGCCAGCCTGTGACTGACCTAAGCCTGCGTTCGCTGACGGCAGAAGGACTGCAGGGAGTCTCCTGGTGGGAATTGCGGGCGCTGACATACGAGAGGCGCCTGCTGGGCGCTAGGGCGCGGAGCCCCTGGGGACAGGGACAGGTGTAGAGACCCGGTGGGGCCAGGAGTCCCACAGGGCGCAGGGGCTGAGCGGTGACACGTAGCGAGTCCCTCGGCGCCATGCCGCCAGCCGCGTCCGGGTCTCAGCGGCGGTAGTGCGAGCAGGCAGCGCGGGGGAGGCCGCTGTGATCCACCGTGCACAGGACCCACACAGCCGGCCCGGCCACCGCAGCCCAGACACTCGGCCGCATCTCTGCTTCAGCAGGCGAGAGGCGTCAGGGAAACCAAAGGGTCCGCGCGTCCAGACCCCGCCTTAGGTTAGGCTCGCAGGAGCGTGCTCGAGCCTGAAGGCGCCTTGCACACAGGGGAGAGAAGCGGGAACCGGCCCCCTCCCTCACTGCTTAGCCTCTGCCCTCACTCCTCTCTGCAATGCACTCTCTGCGCCTCGTGCTGCTGCAGGTGCTGCTGTCCAGTGTCCCTGGGGGAGGTGTCCAGAGCAGTCTCCACTTGGGCAACAGTGCCTCGATAGTCCATATTGGCTTTTATGTGCAGGGCTGAGAATAGGGTTTGCTTGGTTTCCTGTCAGAGCAAGCTTTCCCAACATCAGAGCTGGCCCCAGGCCCCTCTGGGATCCCAGTCGGGTGTGGACTTCAACCCAAGTTTGGCCCTGTGCCGGGATGGCTACCTTCAACACTCGGTTTCCAAAATTGTCTCTGTCCTGTTTCTACTGTCTGTTTCCTTTTTCTTTGCTTCACCCTGGTTGTCCTTATCTTCGTTCTGCAATCACAACCAGCCCTTGTGTAGTGTTGACTATACATCAGGCCCTCTTCTATGTAATTGACACAGACATATCATCTCATTTTGCTTCACCAGGGCAGCCCTGGAGGTGTAGCTGAAGAGAACGCTTATTTTATTTATTTTATTTTAGAGATGAGGTCTTGCTTTGTTGCCCAGGCTGTAGTAGTGGTGCAGTCACAGCTCACTGCAGCCTCAACCTCCCAGGCTGGAGCAATCCTCCACCTCATTCTCCAAGTAGCTAGGACTGCGGTGGCGCCACCACCATTTTTGTAGAAACCTGGTTTCACCATGTTGCCCAGGCTGGTCTCTAACTCCTGAGCTCAAGTATCCTGCCTGCCTCAGCCTCCCAAAATGCTTGGATTGCACCTGGCCTCATTATTTTCTTAAACCGTTTTTTCTAGTCTCTTTGTCTATAGGTGCATTGCTTAAAAAAAGGAACTGCAGATGGCCAAAAGGCCACAGGATCTTCCAGAATGCCTCCTTTGCTTATTACTGGAGGAAGATAAGGCTGAGGCAAAACAAGTGCAAACCAGACACAGTGACCCGTGGTTACCTTTAGATCATTAATATATAATTATCATGTAGCTCCCTACCCATGGAGGAAAATATGCTCACCATTTGCTGAACATACATCATGAAGAGCATGCGCCAGTCCGACCTGCGTCTGGAGTTGCTTCCTGCGCAAGCTTACATACATCACCCCATAGCTAACTCCTTAAAATTTCCCAGCTCCCCACCGCTGGGCGATAAGGTGTTTGTTTGTTTGTTTGTTTTGAGATGGAGTTTTACTCTTGTTGCCCAAGCTGGAGGGCAGTGGCTGAATCTCTCGGTTCACTGCAACCTCCACCTCCCGGGTTCAAGGGATTCTCCTGTCTCAGCCTCCTGTGTAGCTGGGATTACAGGCACATGCCACCCGCCTTGTTAGATTTTGTAGTTGCTTAGAGATGGGGATTTCACCATGTTGGCCAGGCTGGCCTCAACTCTGACCAGGTGATCAAGCCCACCTTGACCTCCCAAGTGATGTAGCAATACGTACGGATTCACAGCATCTCAAAGCTGGCTGTGGGGCTACAAATCCGGGGTTAGGACCTGGTGTTGGGGGTGTCCTGGTAACCACACAAGGAGGAACTGGTCCCTGTTGCTTGGGGGTCAGCGACGGTTTCCAGAGCTCAAGTCTCTTTCTGTCATAGCAACCCTTGAAGGGCCGTACAATATACTCCGAGGAAATATCGCTGCTTCCTGGAGAACTGTACTCTCTTCCCTGTAGAAGGACCCACTCATCTTGTATCTGAGACAG